GGAAAGAGTTCAGCAAAAGGATTGACTCAGCAACCAGGAGAAATGAGCACTGATGAGTTGTGGGGGTCAGGCAGAGGCCAGGAGGTAATAGCAAGGAGCAGGAGGAGGAAGGAAGGGAGCAGAGGCAGCCTGCGGGGTTGGGCGGGTTGTGTGTTTGGAGCTCTGGGCAGAGCAGCTATCGCTCCCCTGTGGAATAGCCATGGCCTGATCTGATGTTCATCATCCGGCCGAAGGAACTGCTTCAGAAGGTGACCAGCTTTGTCTGCCATTAGCAAAGGATGCAACAGGGGCTTGTGCAAGTCTAAAGAAGCTGGGTTTGCATCTTTTTTTCACATTGTTGACCTCTGTCTTCTGTTACACATGGACTTGGGCCGGTTCTGCATCTGGGTGAGCGCAGGGAAGGACGTGTGCCTGTGGTTTGTGGGGGGAAATGCAGCAAATTTCGTAGTCTGGAAGAGCATGTAGATCAGGTTGGTCTTGGGCAGACAGGAGTGGTTTGATTGTGTAACAGAGCGAATCTGCTGTTGGACAGACAGGTTGCTGGGATTGTTCACTGTCAGCCAGAGCGTAAGGCTAGAAAAACGGTCAGAACATGGGATTATTTCATTATATTTCTTGAGGTGTTTTGGGGACACTTGGGAGTGGTCAGTTTTCAAGGGATCTGCTCAGGTCTGGTTTAGCTCATCAGCACATAAATCCCAAACTTGTAATTTCATCTAAGGCTGAAGTAAGTATCATTCTTGCTGGCAGGATTTTTTTCGTAAATAAAATATCAGCCTTTACAGCAAACATTTCACTGCGTGATTTAGGGCCTGTGTTTAAACCGTCAACCAGCTTTAAATGCATTAGCATACAAAAAATAAATGGGCATTTCAGAGGAGACCTTCCAATGAATTAATAATCACCTCAGCTCTGTGGAGATTGCCTTAAAAGCCATTCCCCTTTGATCTGGCACAGATTAGCCTCTGAAAGGATTTAGAACAGAGAAGGTTGTTCGCTGAAATGAAGGTGTTAAACTGAGAGGTGGGGAGGCCCGTCACTTTAGCCTTCTCTGAATTATATATGAAGCTCTCCAGGATAGAGAGCACAGGCCTAAATTAAAATGTTGCTTCAAGAAAGAGGGAGTTGAGAAGCACCGAAGCATAAAAAGCATCAGTGGAGTCACTGGGTAACAACCAGTTTCCTAATTATTCAAGCTGCTGAATGTAACCGTTTTTTTGATGGCTCACTCAGTGACTGAGATCTTCCTGCAGGTGCAAAACTGGCTGGAGGAGAAAATGCTGCTTTCTAATGAATTGCGTGCCTAGCGTGTAATTACACTTAAGCAATCACTGGGAGAGCATGCTTGCGCCTAGCTCTGCTGACAGCGGAGGAGCGTTTCTGGACTGCAGCAGGCAGGCTAATTGTGGAGCTGCATACCGCCGCGTTCGCATTCCAGCGTGCCACAGCCCTTTGAAGGGGGCCGCTGGGTTCAAACCATTTTGGAATTGGAGAAGTGGTTAGTTGAGATTTGAAAGGCTTAATGATTTTAATGAGTTTGCTGGGGCATGGCATTATTACCAGTGCGTTATGTATTTCTCAGGTATAGAGCCATAAAATCTTACGCACCTATACAAGTGGTGTATACATTGTGTATTCACATCCCAGACGTACTGCTTATCTCTGCACAGATAACTAAACAGATGTCATCAGTATCTCCAATTTTCAAAGTGCAAGAGCCACTGTAAACAATAAGTAGAAATCTCCAGTTACCAAACCCAAGCTCAGCGTAACACCCTCATTTAGGTGTTATGTTCCAGAAGTTAGTGTGTATGGATGCAGCCATATGACCAGAGTTTGCATAGAGTAAATTATTTACTATATTAATCATTCTAATGGATTTTTCAAACCCTTCATTAATACAACATCCCTTTTACCAAGTGATGGTACACATGACTGCACGCATCCTTTGGTGCTTGGGGCATTTCACCCAGAGCAAAAAGCCACACGTGCTCTCATGCAGTAAGTAGGACCTCCGATACCCTGGTTTTGGTGCTGTAGCAAGGAGCTCAGAAAAGCTCACTATAGATGTTTAGAATGATACTGTCAATAAAGCAGGTTGCAGCTATCTGGAGCCTTTCATCAGCCACCAGCATGCCCACGGTAGCTGTCTTTATTCTCACTTCAAATCAAATAATTAACAAAGGGGCACAGCTCTGAAAATTCAGCTGTGGTTTTGTACCAAGTTAACTCTGCCCTTAAGAAAGGGCTTTGAACATGTGTCTCACTGTGGAGGCTGGGAGGTGGCTTTGCCTGAAACCAAAGCTTTTGGTTGTGTTTTGCTCTGGAATGGTAAGATTTGTGATTCTGGGGCCACAGACCTTTGGTATGGAGCTAGGAGTAACTGGCCTTTTCTGTCTACTCAGGAATTAGAGTGGTGGCTCATCCGGCAATCTGTCAGGGTGATTGATTTTGTGAGGACCTACTTGGGGTCATAGTGTGGCAGGCACCCACATTCCCTCCAAAGACAACAGGCTGCAAGGGCAGATTGTGATACAGTCTCAGCCCTCCCTGTCGTAACAGTCAGCGTGACGAGCCCCGTTTTTGCTTTCTACCCAGCCTGGCATCTACTGCTTTCATCCACACGGAAACTGGGCTTTCCGGGTGCCAGTGTTGAGACACCGAATTATCCTGGCGTTTGATGGGTGCCTTGTGGAAAGCCCTAACAAGCTCCTGCAAATGTATTTGCTCATACAGTGGCCTCACATGCTCCATCTTGTACCCCAGCCTCCTTTCCCCAGCCAGTAACAAGCAGTGGGACCATCATAGTTTTAGGGCCTTTTTTAGGGTGCAAATATAGATTGCGTCCTATATTGAAGGACAAATCTTGAAGGAAAACTCAGTCAAAAAAGCACCGTATGTGACAGTTTTTTACCTGAGGTGTTAGTGAGGACTTGCTTTGGACACCGTATGAAGCAGGTGGTAATAAAAGATGCACCTGGAAGATAAAGCTTAGACAGAGAGACCCTGGGAAGGGAAAGCATTTCCTAAGTAACGACATTGGTTGATGTTTTATTAAAAGAGTTGAGGAGACTATCCATTCTGCGGGAACCCTGCCCCTGCCCAATGACCACTGGTCAGTATTTATAGAGAACTGTTACTCTGCAGATAGCAGCTGGGCTGCGATCGCTCCAGCTGGCTGCTGCCTGCCGATAGTGCCCCCCTTGCAAAAAAAAACTGCCCCGGCCCAGTGACCACTGGTCATTATTTATAGAGAACTGTTACTCTGCAGGATAGCAGCTGGCTGCGATCGCTCCAGCTGGCTGTTGCCTGCCGATAGTCCCCCTCTTGCCGCTTCGCAGCACTGTCTGCTGATTCGGAGGAATGCTCTCTGCTCGCAGATGCAAGCAAGCACGCTCCTCGGCTCTGTACATTACCTTTTCTCTTGTTCCTTTTGCCTCTTGAAATTACCACTCAGCTATTATTTATTGCACTATATTACTTTGCTGTTGTATTTATAATAAGCCAAGGAAGGAAGTCAGCAGTCGCTTCAGTTAGCTGTTGTATAAACGTGCAGCCAGAAGAGACAGCCCTCAGCCTGTGTGTGTGGATGTCTGTTCAGGCCAAGCAGCAGTGAATAAATTACCACTCTTTTACTATCTGGGAAGAAGTCAGAAATGAAAAGTGTTGCAGGGAGAGACCAAAATCTTGTTAAACTGACATTGCACTTAATCCTGTCCGCAGCCAGCCTGTAAAGAATAGAGGGGACCTTCTGTTACTCAGCAAGCTGGTTTCCAAGCACTGGAGCAAACCTGCCCTTTTACATGATATGGCAAATTCCCTTTTGTGCTGTCATCACTATTAAATTCAAATACAGATAAAAGGATTTAATTTCAGGAGCGGAAAAGCGAGTGTACTTCAGCCCTCTTAATCTCCGTGCAGTTCAGATTTCCCAGGACTTACATGGAGCGCATATATCAGATAAAGCCACACTAATTGTGTTCCTTCTTTTTCTGCCCCCCTCTCCCCGTTTTCTTTCTGTTTATCTGGCACTGGATGTTTGGAAACTGCAGAACTCTGTTTGGAAACAAGATCAAGTCGGTGGCCAAGAAAGCGTTCTCAGGGCTGGAGGCCCTGGAGCACCTGTGAGTAACCCACCATGCCTCAGAGTTTGGGAAGGGGGGTCTGCCAAAAGTAGCTGCTTGAGAGATCTGCTAGCAATTTAATAGTGTCTTTGTAAACTGAGAAGCCAGTCCATTTGTGGGGGCCACCTGCTTCCTTCTCATTATAAGTCCGCCTCAACTTTGGCCTTTTTTTGTGCCAGGAACAAAGTTATAGAACATATGGCAAATCTGCATGCTCTTAATTTTTTGATTTGTTCTTGGATAAATATCGCCTTGACTTGCACATTGCTTCTTTGCAGGCTGTTAGCAATGAAAATACGCCATTTCAGATGCAGCCTTCTCTCCTCCTCCCTTGCCCCAACTTCCTCCTAAATCCAGGCTCTGGCAGTGACACGTTGCAAATGACTGCTTACGATGCAGGCACCGAACATCCCATTCAGCACAACTGCCTTAGAGCGATTTGCAAGAACTAAATTTTGGCTGCCGCTATGTAATTTTTTTTGTGTCCCAAGGCTGATGACTCCAGCAGTGATTCATGAATAACTTCCTTTCTGAATTAAGACAAGTTAAAGTATATGTGATTTTGCTGTAGATGTTTTATTGGCTGTTGATTATATGAAATGTTACGACCATTGAGAGCATACTGAAGGGTTAGGGCTGCCTGACTGGGGGGGCTATGTTCCCAGATAAAGGTTCCCTTATTAATGCTCTACTGAGATTTGTCCTCCCCAAGCAGTCCTTGTCTGTCCTATACTTCACTTTGTAAACTTAAGCCCTAAATCTGACACGATCCTTTTTCAGAGGACAAGTGAATTTTTTAATTAGCAGTAGTTGTGAGGGAAGCTTTTAAGGATACCTTCTTTTGGAAACATTGCGGTGTTTTTCGAACACAACAGTATCCTCTCGAAGTCACTTTCAAATAACTTCTCAGATGCCGTTTAGTGCAAGTATTTGCTTTCTTTATGTTTGCTGAAGGTCTAGCCTGGGATACGACATTCCTGACTATCTTTGGTTGTCGAGGGGGCTGAGGAATTTCTGAGCTATGGATGATGGAGGTAGCTGAGACTGAGAAAGTGTAGTGAGAAGATGGGCTATGGAATGACTCAGTGATTTATTCCCCTAATTTTTGTTGGTTGACTATTGTTTGGCAGTACTTATTCAATATTAAAGTGTTTTGTGGAAAACCATTTCTGTGAGCTGCAGGTGCATGTGGCCTTAACAAGGAGCTACCAAATCACCTGCTACTGGAGTCATTGCTTAAATATGGAGAGACTTTGCCACAGCCATAGCGTCCCTTTTGTTCACATTGCCTTTGGTTGTGTTCTGCAGGAACCTTGGGGATAACGCCATCCGCTCAATCCAAGCAGACGCTTTTGCTAAGATGAAGAGCCTGCGGCAGCTGTAAGTGATTGGACTGTACACACCATTAAGGAGGCAGAGATCCTTCTTGCCCTGGACGTGAGAAGTAGCACGTTGTTTCCAGTGGGGTGTTATTTGCATTACCGCTCACTTATTTCCTCCTCCCCTCCATCCTCCTCTGCAGGGTATTTTTACACGAGTAGATGTCACGGGAACATCTTGCATTTAATAGTGAGTGAAATTAGATCATCGGAACAGGTTCCTCCAGCAGGTTCGCATCTGTGCAATTATTCATCTCCGCTCAGGAAGTCCAGCCCTGGTCCTGTTAGCCATCTCTCCTTCTCATGCTGCCACTGATTTAATTCCCAGTGGCCCATCTGCTCCTTTGCTGTACCTATGTTTAGGGTTTGCATACAGTACTGACATTTCAGCGATAAGCACCATTTGAACTGGATCCACTTGTCATCCAGCCTTCTGGTGTAAAAATACGAATGTGTTATTAGAGCTGCTGCTTGTGCTCCAGGCTGGGGCTCTGCACTGTTACCAGACACTGTTTCCAGTCTTGCCTGGTTTCCCTTTCTTTTCTTCTCCATAAATATTTAATCCACTGTCAGTACATTGCTATGCTCTGGAGTACTGCAATGTCTGTGGACCAAGAAATCACTTATTTGGTATTTGGAAAGGTTCAGATTCTTCTTCCTGACGTTGGAAATGGGAATCGGTCGCTGTTAGCAATGACATATAATACTAGTGACTTGGGAATGAATAAGAGAAATGTTGCATGTCCATTGTTTGTTTAACCACCTTATATTTTGCACTGGCTCTTGAAACAAAATTGAGGCAAAAGATTGATCTTATTAGAGAAGAGCTTGTGGGATCCCAGATATTGTGAAGGAACCTGTATACTGTGGAGAAGGTGGCTTTCAGATAGGGGACATACACATGCAGAACGCGTTGTACTGTAGTCTTAAATGCTAGGGGTCTCTCTGACCTGTCCCAGCTAGCCAGCAGTGTTTATGCCATCACGTATATTAGGGGCTACACATCTTTCTAGGACAACAAAGTGGACAACTTTGGAAAATCAGATCCCTATGTTCACTCATTCCCTCCCTCTCCAGTCCATTTCTTTCTTTTCCCCTTTTTTTTCCCCCTGGCTAGTTTCAGACTTCAGGATATCCCAAGGTTATCAGGTAGAAAAATGGAAGGACTTTTGCATCTGCTTACAACACAGTGCTGGAGTTGGGATTCTGCTGTGTTCTTGACACCCTGCTCTTGCACAACTTGCAGTATTGCAGGACAGGACTTTCTCTGTCCGGGGCCATTTTCCCAGTCTCTGAGGCATCCTCACATTTGATTTGAGGGATTAGACTGGGTTTTCCTAGGATCTTGGACCAAACCAGACCAAAGTCTGAATTCCCTGTTGGTGTAAACATGCAGTTCTTCACTGGCCTTAGAGCTATGCCGAGCCACAATTTGTCCCAGAATATTTAAAAAAAAAATAAATCTTGAAGCTCCCCTTTTATTTGTCTCTTTTTCACAGCTCTTTTCTTGCTGGAAAGTGCTAAGTTATTGTTAGGATGCTGAGAAATATTTTTGTGGTTTGTTCTCCAAACTAGTTACTGTTTGTATTGGGTTTACACAAATGTCTGTGGTCGTTTCTCTTCCACTGCTTCTGTTATCAGTAAATACAACATCAGCTATGCCTCTTATCCCTGGCGATGCTGGTGTGCAAACAGAAGGCAGGCAGGGGCCTCTCCACTTACTCCTCTGGTGTTGGCTACTGAGGGAACTAAAGGTCTTACAGCGGGAACTTGGCATCTTCTCACTGTTCAGTAGTTAAGTCCTGAATTCAGTCCCCAACAAAGATGCGGAGAAGGAGCATGCGTGATAATTAGATATGAGAAATGGGAACAGGACAGGGCTGTACTGTTGACTTGTGGCTCTGCTGCATGTCTCCTTGGACTTTAGTAAAGCCTTTGACACCGTTCCCCACAGCATTCTGGTGGAGGAACTGGCTGCCCATGGCCTGGACAGGCATACTCTTTGTTGGGTAGAAAACTGGCTGGATGGCTGGGCCCAAAGGGGGTGGTGAATGGAGTTAAATCCAGTTGGAGGCCGGCCACGAGTGGTGTTCCTCAGGGCTCAGTGTTGGGTCCAGTTCTGTTTAACATCTTTATCAATGACCTGGACAAGGTCGAGTGCACCCTCAGCAAGTTTGCAGATGACACCAAGTTGGGTGGGAGCATAGATTTGCTTGAGGGTAGGAAGGCTCTACAGAGGGACCTGGACAGGATGGATCGATGGACCGAGGCCAGTTGTATGAAGTTCAACGAGGCCGAGTGCCAGGTCCTGCACTTGGGTCACAACAACCCCATGCAATGCTAGAGGCTGGGGGCAGGTGGCCAAGAGGGCCAACGGCATCCTGGCTGGTATCAGGAATAGTGTGGCCAGCAGGACCAGGGAAGTCATCCTTCCCCTGTACTCGGCATTGGTGAGGCTGCACCTCAAATGCTGTGAACACACTTTTGGGCAAGAAAGACATTACAAGAAAGACATCGAGTTGCTGGAGCGTGTCCAAAGAAGGGCAGCGAAGCTGGTGAGGTGTCTGGAGCCCAAGGCTGATTGGGAGCGGCTGAGGGCACTGGGGGTGTTCAGCCTGGAGAAGAGGAGGCTGAGGGGAGCCCTTATCGCTCCCTACAACTGCCTGACAGGAGAGGGTAGTGAGATGGGTGTTCGTCTCTTCTCCTAAGTAATAAGCGATAGGTAGAGAGGAAATGGCCTCAAGTTGCTCCAGGTGAGGTTTAGATTAGATATTAGGAAAAATTTCTTAACTGAAAAGGTTATCAGGCACTGGAAGGGGCTGCCCAGGGAAGTGGTTGAGTCCCTATCCCTGGAGGTATTGAAAAGATGGGCAGACAAGGTGCTTAGGGACACGGTTTACTAGTGGACAGGTACGGTTGGACTCAATGATCTTAAAGGTCTTTTCCAACCAAACAATTCTATGATTCCTTTGTAGATGATCTGCCTCGGTTTCTCTCACTTAAGCCAGGGATGGCATTGCTCATCTGTTCTTGGGGATCACTCTGGAAGTTGGTTAATAAACACAAGGTGCTAGGGAGTGTCACTGGAATACAGGAGTGGGTTGCTCTATGTGGAGATGAAATGCTGTTTAAACGTGTTACGTATTTAACATCACTAGTGCCTCGAGGACAACCCTGCAGTCCTTTTTTTCCTTCCACCCATGCTGGGGGGGAAGGGAGGAACATGCCTAACATGAAAGGGCTGTGAGCTTTCCAGCCTTCTCTCCTTGCGGGACTCACAGCAGGCTTGTGTTGGTTTTGTTTCCCTGCAGCCACATAAACAGCGACAGCTTCCTCTGCGATTGCCAGCTGAAATGGTTGCCCCAGTGGTTAGTTGAGAAAGAGCTGCAATCCTTTGTGGTGGCCACCTGCGCCCATCCTGAGTCACTGAAAAGCAAGAGTATTTTTGCCATCGTGCCAGAAAGTTTTGTATGTGGTAAGTCTTGCCTGTGTGTTTTGAGGTTGTATGAAGGGTAGGACTCACTTGGGAAACATTTCCTTTGACTACTAACATGTTATTACAAGAGGGTTTCTGTTTTGTTTTGTTATTCAGTGGGATAAAAGGGAGCCCAAGCCTGCATTTTAAAAATTTGTCATTGGCTACAATTTATTTCCCACCAAAACCACACAGCGCATTGCTTGCATCTAGTGTATTCCTTACAGGGCTCCCTGAGTACTAAATGAAAAGGGACTAATGCTTGTTCCAGTTCCAAATGGGGCTGCATAGAGACTTTCCCAGTCCTCTTGGTTTGATACTACCAAGTCTGCAGCTGCTTTTTTCACTCTGCAGCATTCTGGGCTGCTTCTGAGGCTTTGTGTTCGTCACTTATCTTTTCTCCCTCTTAGAAATAACAAAGGGTTAAAAAAAAAAAGCAGAGGAGAATCTCTCCATCACAGCTCATTTTTGGGGGGCCAGTAAGGCATTATACATGAACCAACCCATGGCTAACAGTTGCATTATAATCTTTTTTTCTCCTACAGTTATTTTTTCTTCTAAACAGCACCTACTGCTGTTCTCCCACCCAAACACTGCAGTTGACTCTGCACCTGAGCTGTGGTTGCAAAGCAGCTTTACTTAATGCCCAGCACACACAAACATCTGCTACCTCTCTTAAAGAAAAGAAATGCAAATGATCAGAGGAGGCCGAAGTGATGCTGCTCGTACATCCAGCTTTTGGCTAAAGTAAAAGGCCTGGTTTGGTGAGCCAAACCCTGTGCTGTGGAGCCAACCAGTGTGGATCCTGGGTGGAGCTGCACATAGCTGTTTGATGAAGGAAAAAATGAGCTTTTGAAAACACTGTTTAACTAAGTTGAATGCACGACTTGCATTGAACACGGAGCAAAAGCTTTGTTCCAGCTGCTGTCCCATGTCCCTGTTGATCCCAGACTGGTAGGGCTCTGCCTAGGTGGCCTCTGTCTAAGCGAGCCTGGGAGGCTTGCTGGGTTCATCTGGAAGAAGAGATCATGAAGGCTCCATCCCCACAGCAACATCACAAAGCAAAGGCAGCTTTGCTCCTCTGGTGCCTGCCAAGTCCTCCAGGCACTAGTACTCCTGGTTCCAGAGGCCCGGCTGTTTAATTAAACCTTAGTCAAATATTAAATTACACCATTTGTAGAAATCTAATAAATGAATCTGCTTGGAACCTTGCTAAAACCAACAGTCTTCAGGGCAGAGAGACTGTGCAAAGCTTTCCACCCCAGACGGGTGACAGCCAAATACAGCTGCTTCTGCTTTGACAGTGCGTGCTGCCGTCGCCTTGCTTGTGAGCTTTTATCCCTAGAGGTGGCATTTGCAGCCCTTTAAGTGTCTCCTGCTCTCCCCTCCAGCTTCACATCAATTCAGGCCTGGAGGTGAAGTTTGAAGTTTGATATTGCTCTTCATGCATGGGTTGTACAAAGAAGGGTATTTTCTTCAGACTGCAGTATCTTTCTGAGGTTCAGCTATACTGGTGAAGAGCTCTTGTAGCATTTGAGGTCACTAAGTGACCATCTCAGTCCACTGATTACAGAAGGAACCAGAGGAACAGAAGTCCTAGCTTATACCAGCCACTCAGTGGGGCTGTGTATGGCACACCTGCCCTATAGAGCCAGCCCTGATGGTGGAGTGCTTTGCCAGAGCAAGCTGCTTTCCTGGTGCAGACAGCAGTGGGTGTAAGAGCAGATAGGCCATGTCTTTCACGTAGGCACTACTCATTTCTCATTGCATCTCTCTGCTTGCTCCAGTCTTCCCTTGTAGTCCAGAACTAACTGCCTGCTGTTTTCTCTTAGCTGATTTCCCCAAGCCACAGATCATTCTCCAGCCCGAGACAACAGTCGCTGTCCTTGGGAAGGACATCCGTTTCACTTGCTCGGCTGCCAGCAGTAGTAGCTCACCCATGATGTTTGCATGGAAGAAAGACAACGAGATGCTGTACAATGCTGAGATCGAGAACTTTGCCCATGTGCGGGCAAAGGATGGCGAGGTGATGGAGTACACCACCATTCTGCACCTCCGGCATGTCACCTTCGCCCACGAAGGGCGTTACCAGTGTATCATCACCAACCACTTCGGCTCTACCTACTCCAATAAGGCCCGACTCACTGTTAATGGTGAGTAGAAAGCTGCTTTCTCATTCCTTTCCTCAGCCTGAGCTGGTACCATTCTCTGGGAACCACTTTTGGCAGGCAGTTATTCCTGAGGGTCCGTTCCTGATGGTGAGGAGCTCCTAACCTCTTCCCACCAGCTGCTTGCATCTCGGTGGATGCTGGGAAATGCCATGTGCCATGTGAGGAGCATATGCCAGGCTTGTGATGGCTGCCATCCAGCCAAGCACTTCAGTGCATTCTTAACAGCTTTAGCCACCCCTCTTTGGCTGTTCCAGTAGTGTTTGCCCAATGAAATGGGCAAATGAAAACGAAAATACAAAAGGATACAAATAAGAGGGACTATAGTGATTGGAAGTTCTCTGCAGTAGAGATAATGGGGTTTGTTTCCAGGTTAACTGCAGAAGAAAATGAGCTTTGATCCCAGCTCTAATGATCCTGAGTGGGGGGTGTCTTGGACACTGCAGAGAGATATGTGCTGTAGGAACACAGGGTTAGTCCCCAGCAGTTTAGATATGTCCTGCAAAAGCAGCTTGCCATCCTCTTGCCTATGGGTAATTACCGTATCCGTCTCCTGCCTAGGAAGGAGAACTGTTAGGACTGCCCAGAAGATGGTGTTTTCCCCGTGGAATCGCTCATCCCTTTTTCTTGTTTTTCTTTATCAGTGTTGCCCTCATTTATCAAAACTCCGCGCAACATCACCAGACGGACAGGGACAATGGCGCGGCTGGAGTGTGCAGCTGAAGGACACCCCACCCCACAAATTGCCTGGCAGAAGGACGGGGGCACAGACTTCCCTGCGGCCCGAGAACGCCGCATGCATGTCATGCCTGACGACAATGTCTTCTTCATTACGGATGTGAAGATAGAAGACATGGGTGTCTACAGCTGCACGGCACAGAACTCTGCGGGGTCTGTGCTTGCAAATGCCACCCTGACTGTACTGGGTAAGTGCGTTAGTGCCCCTGAGAGACCAACTGGTCTGGAGGTGGGAACTGGAAGGGATTGCTCTTCAAGCTCTTCAGCAGTTGCAGATAGAGAAAAGGGGCAAAGAGGCAGCGCTCTGCATTAGTTGTTTCATTCTTTTACGCTGTAGCTAAGTAATGGAAAATACCCTGCTAATTAAAAGGAGGAGCCCCGAGTCGCATTTCCTCTTGTGCCAAGGAAGCCCCTCCAACCACTCTGTTTCCTGCCTGCAAAAATCACAAGGAAATTGCACTCCATCTCTCTTGCCCTACAAAATAATTCACGTGTGTCAGCTGTTGCCCCTTGTCCTCGAGGGTTTCTTTGTTGGGAAGACTAACACCACCTGGTTACGGGAAGGCCTTGGTTGTGATTGTTGGATCTGTCGTGGTTCGCAGCTGCCATGCTCCTGGGCACATGGCTGCGCAGTGCCTTGCTGTATGTTTGTCTGCAGGAACATCAGTTACATTCAATATTACTAAAAAAAAATCCGTCGTTACACTGTCCCCAAGAATTAATTTGTGCGTTTATTCTCCTGCAGAGACACCATCTTTGATTCATCCACTGGAAGACCATGTAGTGTCTGTAGGTGAGACTGTGGCTCTTCAGTGCAAAGCCACAGGGAGTCCACCCCCCCGCATCACCTGGCTGAAGGGTGACCAGCCCCTGATCGTGACAGAAAGGCATCACTTTACCTCCGGCAACCAGCTGCTGATCGTTAGGAACGTTGTCTTGGAGGATGCTGGGAAATACACCTGTGAAATGTCCAACACTGTGGGGACAGAGCGCGCACATAGCCACGTGAGCATCTTGCAGTCTCTTGGCTGTAGGAAGGACCGTACCACTGTGGGGATCATCACCATTGCTGTGGTGTGTAGCATCGTGCTGACTTCTCTGGTCTGGGTCTGCATCATCTACCAAACCAGGAAGAAGAGTGAAGAGTACAGCGTCACCAACACAGGTAGCTCTAGTCTCCTGCTAAGGCCTTCTCTAACCTTTTGTGCTGTTAGACTTCCCGCCGAGGCTGAATCGGCACGTCAGGTAGTCACACAATCACCCTGGAGAAGCAGCTGGCTTACCTCAGTGGTTCTCTTGGCTCACGGAGCTGGAACCAGCTTTCAGAAGCATGTTCAGAGCTGCGTTTCTCCCCTTGGCTGGCTCTTCAGAAAGGTCTTTTCCACTTGGCAGTACTTTCACCCATTGCTTTGCTGCTTTTGGTTGTCCGTGACCATGAATGATAACTCTTGAGACAGTCTGGATTATGTCCACGATGCTGGGAACCTGTCTTACTTCTTGGGAATCTGTATTTTCAAAGACTTTGTATCCAAAACACAGAAAACTAAGACTTTGAAGCTGGAATCCCTTTTTCCATGTTGCCTGTAAGAGTTGTTGTAGCCCTGCTGATGAGGGGCATCCCTCACTTTTTAGGGGAAGAAGCAGTGTTTATTGCTTACTGCTGATCTTCAAAGGGATAACTTGGGGCTGAAGTGCGTGCTGCAGCGAGAATAAACTCTTCTGCCCTCAGTGTTGTACAGCCTCTGAACGGAAGTGTGGAAGAACCAGCCTGAGGCTTGCCGCCCTGCTGGGATTTGCAGTCTTCCCTTAGCTCTAGATAGAGTGCAACATAGGATTTTAAAGACAGGGGCTAGGCAGGAAGCCTTGGCTACCATATGGCCAGTGCGATGTGTAAGTGGGGGTTTTCTCCCCCTTTTTTCCAGTGTGTTTGTATGACAGGGGAAATTGAAATTGCCTGATGTAAAATGGAGAAAGCCAAGGATAGCAAAGGGGCTTAGACTTCCTTGCCTGCTTAAGTGAATCGAAGACCCCGTTCTCCAGAAGTCTTTTACTTGATGACTTTGGGAGACAGAGGACTGGAGTCAAATGAGGTACTCTGAATTTCAGGGGACAAGGAAGGATTTACTTGTTCTGAAGAGACAGTTCTCCCTTGTACTGACCATGCCAAATGCAAACACCCAGAATGGCTTTATCAGCACTGTATCTCACAGCTTTAAGCTTTGAAAAATCAGGAGTGAGGAGAGTGGAGAATGGAGTATTTAGGCAGTTCAGTTTCCATTGCGTCTACAGAAAATACCAGTTATAGATCTGGTCCCAAAATCCTCTTGAAAATGTGATTTTACATGCCTTTGAAAACAGAAGCCTTTATATCCTACCAGGGACTGACATTTCTCTGCTCCCTTTGCTCTAGATGAGACGATTGTGCCTCCTGACGTGCCAAGCTACTTGTCTTCACAAGGGACTCTTTCTGACCGGCAGGAAGGGGTCGTCCGAGTAGAGCACCAACAGCCCAACGGGCACATAGACAGCAACGGTGAGAACCGGTTTAATTATTTTTTTTTTCTGTAAGGCTCTATCTGAACTTGATACGAGGAGGTAGAAATCACAGCACAAAGTACTTCTGTGCTTGTTACGAGTTATCTGAAAGATCTTCATAATCTAATTCTCCAGCTACTGCGTTTCTGCAGAACAAGGACCGGTCTGTCACTTCACGAAGCTATCCTCTCCCAGCCATAGCAGCGTTCGTACAAGCAGACTGCTTCAGAAACTGCTCGGTCAGGCCCTAAGGACTGTGTCTTTGCTAATTTTGGATTAGTTCTTTGGCACCAGAGTTGCCCATAGTTAAGCTCTACTCGAAAGTACATTAGCATTGCCTGTCCCTGCCTTCAGGCTTAGAAATTAAATGCTGGGATTTTACAGTATTTGAACACAGCACATCAAGAAGGCAAAGTTAAGCGTTCTGAAGTCAGATTCTCCTGAGATTGTAGATTGTACAGCATTTATTCTGTTAAACATTACCTTAAAATTATCTCCACTGCTGTTTTTTCTCCCTTTTCCAGCTTTTACAGTAGAAATAAGACCAACAAGTCATTTAACTGAGAGCAGATGGTTGTAATCTTTAGCCAGATGGTTTGTTTGTTACAGGTATGTGTCAGACCGATGCTGGAAAGTGTCCAGATGTTGAAGCTCCCACTGTAGGTTGTAGACAGCCAAAGCTGTGTATCGGCTATAATAAAGACACTTGGAAAACCGAAGACATGGCTGATGGAATGCTTGTTCCAGATAAGACAGGTACAAAACCCATTAATCTGGAAAGGCATTTCGTGTTTGTACAGATCAGAAAGCCCTCCAAGTCAGGCAGCACTAAGACAAGAAATTGTTACCTTCAGAAAAAAAGCCCAGAACAATTCTCAGGTGTGAGCACAGTAAATTTACTCTCTCCAGCGTGCTTTCCTCCTCTCTCAAGCCTGGCTAGTTCAAATTCGAGGAACCGCCGGAGAGAGGCAGAGTAAAGCTCGCGGTAGCCATTGCTCGCAGCTGGCTGGTGGGCATTTTGATCTGAGCTATTTCTAAAACGTGAGAGCACTTTCAACCTGAAGGTGTTAAAACTTTTCATGCTCTTTAAAGGGGCTGTCAACTTCAAAGCTCAGCGCTTTTTTTAACTTTTCAGAATTGAAAGGTTGTTTTGGGCACTACACCTGCCTCTGCTCTTTGCCAGTTTCTTGGATGTTACGCTCATACTTGTCTATTTTTAGAATGTGTTTTCTGTTCTCATGCTGCATTGTAACATCCACAGAAAAACAGGCAGCGAAGCAAATTTTCTCTCCAGGAGAAACTGTAAAGTTTAATAATGGAAAGTTGTCAAGTGCACTACGGAAATTAACTTTCAACATTTAGAAATTCCTTCCTGCTTGCTGCTTTGAATTCTGCTCATCTGTTACTACCGCTAACAGGAATAGTGTTTCTCGAGATAACAGTATGAGTTGCAGTGATCCCTGTAAAGCGGCAGCACAAAAATAAGAAAGGTAACTTGGACTTTTAAAGTGGGTACAGGAGAGTTCCGCTTCCTATCCTGACTAGAAAGTCTGGAAAAGGAAATAAATGCAGCTTCTTTAAAAAAAAAAAAAAAAAAAGTCTGTCACAACTTCTTTGGAGTAAAAAAATCCCAAACCTGCGGAACCTATGAATTGGAACTACCTTTAGTCATAGCTACAGAGTTCTGAAAAACGCAGCTATTTACTAGTCCTGGATAAAACCGAGAAATGTCCGTATTATTTAGTGAGCGAGATTCCCACACTGCCACAGGCAGATGAACTCAACAGCTGCCTTTGCCTTCCGCAAGTTGTGTGCTTCAGTGCTGACAACTTCCAGCTGGTTAATCGTCGCTTGTTGCTCTTTTCTCTTCCTCCCCGACAGGCTACGGCCTGCCAGTGGTGTGCACGGACTGCAGCGGCAGCACGGACAGCATGAACGTCCACATTTACCCCAGGGAGTCGGAGTGCTACTCTGAGAGCCTTAAGACTGTGGAGAATGCCCACCCGCCCGCACTGAGCAGCAAGGAGCGAACGAGGAAGAGGGGTGCAGGCACCAGCCTTCTTCCTCCTCAGCCCTGCAACGGGATTGCCAGCGGCAAGAGGATGGAAACGGACGGGACCCTCTACCCCAGCAACCACGACAGAATAAGACCTGCAAGCACGACCAGCCCGCTGCTTGCAGACGAACGCGGTACGTGGTTCCCCGGGGATGCCTCTTTCTCCCCAGATGCAATACAGCACCGCGTGGGTTATACCACAGCCCTCTCTTCTCCCGTCAGCTTTTTTAACTGGCTCAAGGGCGTGAATGATAGTGGCAGGGTCGGTTTTATGGGGAGCACTGGCAGGCTGAGCATCAACTCACCACGCTGGTGCTTTGGTTTCTTGCAGGCTCTTCACAAGCAGCAGCCAAGCCGTCAGAGCTGAACAACCTTAATCTGGTGAGAGCTTCACCGGCAGGAGGGTCATTAAAGCAACTGAATGTGCTTCCTGAAATTTCCCCAACACTACTGGATTTGCAGAGCGAAGAAGTGGTGCAGCAAGCTCTCCTGTCCAACGGCTACGCGCCCAAGCCGTGCGACTCTGTTCACGAGTTGAAGCCACTGAACAGGTCGCTGGACTGAAAGGACAGGCTGCCATGTGCAAATTAACACACACACTTTTTTTTTTTCCTAATTTTTTTTTTGCACAGAGTATATAGGCTACTTACTTCTACCTCAAATCTCGAACTGATGACCTGTCAAAGGCAAACAACTGAGGTATGAGAAACAAGCTTGTATGGGGAACAAACTCCTGTTCGAGCGTCATCTGTTTGTACATAGTTTAAAACTTCCCTGAGAAGTATGAAGCATTCAAAAGTCGACTTGCATATGAAGCACATAAATGCAAGGGATTATTGTGTAAAGAGAAAAGTATTTGATACAATTGTACATAAGAGTTTTCATATATAAATATATATA